AACAACAACAACAGTGAGGGTGACCAACCAGAGAGGAGCCGTCCTGGATCAGAGAGGGCCAAGCACGCACAAGAGGTCGACATCAAGGCCACACCTTCAGAAAGACTCCAGCATCACCTGCAGCAGGGCCACGCTCTTGTGAGACAAGGAAGCCACGGCCACACCCTCTTTCCTTCAGAGGCCTCCGCCACGGCCACGCCCTCCTGAGATAAGGACTAAGAACTGATATGGCTGAGGCCACGCCTCCTCCAGGCACCACCTCCACCGAGGCCACGCCCCCAGGGTATGCCCACAAAGGCCATGCCCCCTCGGCCGGGAAGCCAAAGCCATGCCCTCTCACAAACAGTGTATGTGCTCCTGGGACCTAGATGACCACCAGGCCATACCACTTCTCAATCAAGGGCCGTGCCCTCCAGAGCCAGGTACAGCCCCTACCTCCTGACCTCCCTCAGGGAAGAGGCCGGATTGAAGTGCAGGCTCTGTCTCTAGCCAAGAGTCCTGGCAGGGACCTCACTTCTTGATGCCTTGGTTTCCCCACCTGTGAAACGGGGCGTTTCTAACAGCTCCCCTCAAGGGCTCTACTGGGATGGAAATAAGGTCACTAACATCCCAAACTGGATGCAGAAAATCTCGGGGATCTTCCAGGTCAGAACCGAGCCAAGGCCTAGGGCGTGGGGTGGGCTGAGGTGGGCTGGGGTTAACATCTAGGTTTCTGGGGGGTTGGAGCAGGGGAGGGGAGGCCCTGTCTAGACCCCCCCCCAGCTCTCTGCACCTCATACCAGGAGCTGGAACCCCTCCCGTGAGCAGGTGGGGGCAACCCCTCGCCTGGGCCCCCATTAGCAGCCGGAGCAGAGCAGGTAAACAGATCGGTCCTGAAGGACACATCTTTTACTCCGCTGAGCAGTTTAATGGCAATTAATTTTTTTACGAGAGGATTTTTAATCTGTGGAAATGGATTAAGTCTCAAAGTGGCCTGTCAAAGTTCTGAGGCTGACTTAATCTATGATAAAAAATGCAAAGTGAGGTGATATAATCTGAAATTAAACAGCTAGCTTCGGTTTCCTGCAGCCCGATGGATGAATATTTTATAACTATTGTGATTTAATTTTTTGTTAACTACAGCAAATTTCCAATTCATCCAGTCCCCAAGTCCTGTGGCGCTGACCCCTGAACCCACACTCATCTCTCCTTTGCCCAGCTGTGCCTTCGTCCCTGACAGGGACTAATGGTCAGCCAGACAGGCTGACTCGGTGGTTACCATGATGGATGCGGCCCGTGGCACGCCCTTTTGACCCCATGTCGGGCAGAAAGCAGCCATTTTTCAAGTGAGCCATTAAAATAAAACAAACCAAAATGCTAGGGGTTTTTGAGAAGTAGCAGAAAATTATCCTATTCTATGCATTGTCAGGGAAGCTTCTGGAACCTTCCCAGTGTTCCCCTCAGTGGCCCTCACCGTGCCAGCCCCTCTCCAGCTCTCAGAGCAGGCGGCCTCCCTTTTTCACTCACAGGCCCCCTACAGAGTATGGGCTGAGAGGGAATTTGTTTACTTGTCCCAAAGGGGCTGCCACACTCCTTACAGACCAGCAGCTGTGACTGATGGTAGGTGGCACCAAGGACACACCACCCACTCTCCCGAGAGGTCTCCTGGCTTCTCACATTGTTGAGGGGAAACTGAGGCATGGAGCTGCTAGGACACCACAGGGGTGACCCTCGGCCAGAAGGGGAGAAGTCTTGCCTGATGGACCCTGGGCAGTGCTACACCTCCTGGTAAGGTGGCCCCAGAGCCCAGGTCACTGAGAGTGGGTCCTGACAAGAAACCTAGGTGTAGATTCCAGGTCAACACACTGGACTGACTCTTGGAGCACACAGTCAAGCCTCAAGCCTGCCTCGGCCTGTGTGTGGTCACAGGTCAGCTTTTGCCCCTCTCAGTTTGCTCATTTCCACACCTCCAGAGAGGGAGAGCTGTTATGGTGAAAAGACCTAATGCCCAAACGGCACTCGACCCTGACCACCAAGGATGTTCTAGAGGAGATGCCGAGGGGGACCGCCATGCCTCCTGGGGCTGGCCTGGCTCTCTGGCTGGCCCTCTTCCCCTCTTCAGGATGGGCCAAGTCCCGTGCATCTATGTCTAGCCCTCCTGGGCAGATTGGAGCCCAGGCACTACCATCTAGCCCCTCAGTCCAGCCCCAACTGGGAGGGCCTGGACGCATGCAGCTCCCTCTGGCTCCTCTTCTGCGTCCCATGGTCCCCCATAACCTCCTCAGGGTGGGACAAACCCCACATATCCATGTGCAGCCCTCCTCTGGGGAGCCTGGACACCCAGACACCACCATCCAGTCCCCAGGTCACAGCGGATCTGGCCCCACACCTGATTCTGTCTCTCCTGGAGGAAGTACTGCAGTCTCGTCTGGCCTCGCCTCAGGGCATGCCAAACAACCCAGGACGGGGACTCTAGGGCGCACCCTAAGGCTCTGTACGCAGCACCCAGCACCCCCCACCCCAGCCCTCAGCAGCTGCTCCCTCAACTGAAATGCCTCTCTGGGTGCCTGTCCACAGCCGAAGGCTACCATGGCTACAGCCGTGAAGCACATCCTCACATGGGCTTGGCTGTCTAGCAGCCTGACTTCTTGAGGCTCCAGAGCCGTCAGGTAACAGAACCCACTTAGGGGTTTGCCTGCTCTGAGGACTGAGCTGCAAGGGCTGCGCACAGGCCAGAATGCTGACCGTCAGACCTGCCCGTCTGCCCTGAGACCACCCTGGCCCAGGAGCGGCAGGTCCTGCTGCCGGAGGAAAGACTGCCCGTGCTCATAACACAAAGCCCGCAATGGAAAAGGCAGCTGGCACACAGAGGGTTCTGTCCCGACAACTAGCTGACAGGTGGGCGGTTCAAACACCCACTGGCACGTCAAAAGAAAGGCCTGACAACCAGCTCGGTGGCAGCCGCACCAAGAGCCCTCCACATGGGCCCTGCCCTCAAGCACCTCAAACACGACAGCAACGGCCTGCGTGTGGTTTTAGCTGAAAATCAGCTTACCCATGAGCACCCTTCAGGGAGCCCTCCCGTAGACGAACACCAGGCCGTGAGCCAGCTACGTACACATGCTAGAGTGTGGGGACGAGCTCTGTGCTGCGGCAGAGTCTGTAGCCAGACTGCTGCAAATGATCTTCAATAAAATCTCAATTATATACAATAAAAGTGTTAAAGAGCAAGGATGTCACGTTGAGGACTAAGGTATTCTTGACCCAAACCATGGTATTTTAAGCAGGGAGCTCTGGTAGCCTAGTGTTAAGGAGCTATGCAGCCAACCTAAGGACATATGGTTTGAATCCACCAGTTGCTCCAGGGAGAAAGACGGGCAATCTTCTGTAGTGCAATTTACAGTCCCTGAAAACCTGCAGATGGTCAGCTATGAGTCAGTTCTGAGTTGATAGTGCCCAACAACAACACATCCAAGCAAAAGCTAGACAATGAATGGCAAGAAGCTGCACTGCAATCCCAGAGGTACGTGGTTGGAATCCACCAGGTGCTCTGCTGAAGGAGGGGCAATCTCCTCCTGTACCGGTCACATCCAATTTGACGGTACACATAAAAAAATAATAATTTTTTTTTAAAAAAAAGCTAGACGATTAATAAGGACTTGAAAAAGAACTGGTGCCTCTGAGTCACGGGCTTGGAGGAGCATACGGCTCCCGAGGACTGAGAAGCAGCAGGTCTGTGTTACAGGAAGTGCTGGCGACACACTCCCTAGCAGCGAGTGCGCAAGGCTGGAGTTCACGCTTTGGGCCTGTCGTCAGGAAGGACGTCATGCTTAGAGAAGTAGAGGGCCCATGCGAAGGAGGAAGACTCGGCCAGGTGTACTGACCCCTGACTTCACCACGGGCTCCAGCACAGCCAAGGGGTGGACGATGCAAGACCAAGCAGGGGGGCATTCTGAGAGCTGTCCCTGAGTTGGGACAGCTCCCGACAATCAGGTCTCAGTCAAGGCCTTGCAAGAAGTGTCTCTGTCACCAGGACCACACTGCTGGGACCACCCGCACTCGGACTCGGGATGCAGACAGAGATGCTGCCCCTTGCTCAGGCACAGGGACCCCTCCACCATAGTTCTGATGACCCCAGATGCCACCCCAGCCTCCGTCCACCCCGGAGATGAAACCCACTGGCCTCTCTGAAGCCAGGGTTGTCCCCTGGTGTATAGGCCCAAATACAGGAGTCCTCGCCTTTGTCCTGGGGGGCTCCTTGAGGTGGGGGTGACTCACCTCTGCCCTGGGGGGCTCCTCGAGGCGGGGGTGACTTGGATTTCCTCTCTCTTTTGGAAGAACAACCTTTGGCCTTTTTGGATTTTTCCTTTAGAACTTGAGAAAAGGAGGAGGGACGGTGATTAGTGGCAGAGACCTGCCGTGCCTGCCAGCCCCAGGGTCTGTGTGAGGGGGCCCCCTGGACGTGTGCGTGCGATGGTCCTGGGTCCTTCGTGTGGGGTGCTCAGTGTGGGTCTACGAGGTCACGTGACCCGGTCATGGCCCTCCCGGCTCTGAGTGAGGATCCCCCACCCCAGGGCTGGCCTCTAGCAGGACCATGCTGAGGCCCCTGGGCTCCACGTCCTCTGCTCTTCACTCAGGGGCGCCTGGCAGCTCTTCTCACTGAACCCCCAGGACAGCGCTTGGTCTCTCATGCCCGTCATCCCCGAGTTGGCGATGGCCATAGGTGAAGTCAGAAGTGGCTTGGGGAAAGGTTGCCTGCGCTCCCTCGATCCTGGGCTTGATGACCAGCCCAGCGGGTGCTGGACACACCTACCACTGCTGTGACTCTTGTCAAATGAGGCCTCTGGAGCAGGAGTGCCAGCCCCCCTGCACCCAAGTGGGGGACAACTGCCCTCTGGAACCCTGCCTCTCATGCCCACTCCCACTGCCCCTCAGAAACCCCACGTGGACACACTGAATGTTGTAATGGGAGGGTCCAGCACTCTGCACCCCAGCTCTCCCTGACGTCCAGGATCTCACCAGGTCATAGGGACAGGATTCATGCTCCCCCGGGCTGGTCTTTCTTCTGCCAGCCCCGTCCCCATCCTGAGGGCAGAGGGGGCCAGCTGGAATCTAACCTGTGGGTATGTCTCCTCCAACCTAGAGGTCCTAGCTGCCTGCCACCACGTCCTGGCTCCTGGATGCCACCTACTGGTCTCGAGGGCAGCTCCAGCCCCGACATCCACCTCCTGACCCTGAGGGATGAGTGAGCCCTAGCCCTGGCCTCTCCCTGGCTGAGTATCTCTCTGACCCTCAAGGTCTTCCTCTGTCTGGGAGCATAGCACAGCAGTAGCTGAGGGCGTGAGAGACGCTGCATAGAGGGAGTGTGGCCTACCCCTGTGCTGCCCAGGCCACACGGTGTCCACTCACCAGAGGCCTGGCGCTGGGAGGCCTTGGCACGCTTAGACCCGTGACCAGGGGATGTCTTGTCTTCCACCGCTGAGACCCGGGGGACACTGAGGTCTGGAGCAGAGAGAAGGGCCATGTGGGGACAGATTGGTGAGGGCTTTGAGGACAGCGCCCCTCACCTTAACTGGAATCAGGCTGAGCACTGGGGCTACTGGACACATTCCGTGTGCTGCTGGGCAGTGCGCCTGGGTCACAGGTCACACAGCTGTGTAGACAGGCCGTCTACACTGGGGTCAGCAGACACGCAGCTGAGTTACCAGGTCATCGGCCACTTTTCATTCAGAAATAACCCACTGCCACTTTTGGTGGAGATTCCAGTTAGGCCAGGTCCTCAAAGGCAGCGTGAGGACGGGGGACACAGGTTGAAATGTGGCCAGGGCAATGGGGGGTGGGAAGACCACCAAGTCTGTGTCTTCTACGTGTCACATGATGAGCGTATCACTTTTCTCAGGAAAAAGCAAAGGCTCATGTTCTTCAAACGAAAAAGAGACACATCTCCTTCCGCAGAGCCTGCCTCCATGGGTGTTGGGGGCTCTGCTTCAACCCCCGCCGCCCGCCCCACAGCCTGGGTCGGGGTACCAGAACCTGCTCTATTCTACAGGCTTTTGGGGGCATAAGTGTCCAAGCCCTCCAAACCTGACTGTTAGCAGTTGAACTGTCCCCCCTACAGCCGAACCCCTAATACTGGCACCAGCTTCATGGCTGACAAACGCAGGGTTTGTGCAGGGGGACCCAGTCAGATGACCCTGATGTGACACTGCAGGGAAGACCTAACCTAGCTTGAGTTTACGCACAGTGTGGTCGCTGATGGAGCCCACGTGCAGGTGGACAGACAGGCCCTGTGGTCACAAGAGGCCGGGAGGGACAAGGAGACTGGGCCCCGAGACCCTTGAATTCACACTTCTGAGCCTGAGATGGAAACCCAGTTCCTGTGACATCGTCCTCTGTGGACTTGCTCAGCAGGGACGAGAAAGTTGCAGTGACCATGACCCCATCTCATAAACATCCCAGTGCCCCCAAGCTCTTGGGGAGAAGACCAGCTACCACAGATGTGGTCCCACTGCTGACTTTGGTCTGACACTGACCACGGCCTGTGTCTCTTCTGTCTTTGTGGAGCTGCTCTCCACTCATTCTGAGACACCGCCCCCCAAGTAAACCCTGAGCTGCTGACTCGACCTTTGCTCAACTACAGCTCTGAGCCCCCTGGGACCCAGCGTCCACAGTCCCCAGGCCAGCAGCCTGCCCGTTGGTGACTGGAAGCCCACCTGGGCGTGTCTGGATGGCAGAGACGTGAGCCACCTTGCGGACCTTCTTCCGGGACCCCAGCTTGGTGCCCTTGCAGAAGCGTGAGGCACCACACGGGGCCGAGGCGCCCAGGGAGCCGCAGCTGGTTGGCCATGCCGCCTGCGCCCGGATCTTGTCTCGTAGTCGCTCCAGCTGAGGGTCACTCTGCCTGGGTTGTCTCGGGGGACGCATCACCTGAGGGGGCCGCTCCTTCCAGACCCTGGGTGGCAGCGTGCACTCATGGCCCCCAGAGGAGCCAGACAGGCGGCCGGATGACACGGAGCTGCTGCCGTGGTCCCTGCTCTCCGGCTCCTCGCCTGCAGACCACATGGGGCAGCTGTTGGCCTGTCCCGGGACAGCCGGCACCTCACTGGGGTCCAGCCAGGCCTCTCGGGGAGCCTTCTTAGAGGTGCCCAGCTGCAGGGAGGGTCTAGGCCTCCTCAGAGGAGCCCGGAGGTCATCACCGGCATCAGGTGGGTGGCACTCCTCTTTCCTGGAGAGAGGAGTGGGCAGTCAGTTGTGGAGGGGAGCCATCCCTGCAAACCTCCCCCATGAACCCCTGTCCCCACCTTTTCTGCTTCCTGTACAGTCTGGAAGGAGCCATAGGGGTGTGGTACATAACAAGGTCAGTTGCTAAGGTCAGAAGTTCAAATCCACCAGCTGCTCTGTGGGAGTGAAATGGACAATTTCCCCCCGAAAAGATTTACTATCTGGGAAGAACACGGAGGGCCTTCCGAGTTGAGACGGACTCGTGGTCATGGGCTTGGGTTTGGCATGGCCCGGGCAGGGCGTCCTGGGCCTGGTAGCCTGGGGGAGGCAGCAGCCGCTTCTCTGCTGAGGACATAGCTGCACGGTGGTGACGTGTCCTCTTGGACACTGAGGACCCCCTTTGAGTTGGACACTGTTGTGGCTCCCACTTTACAGATGGGGAGACTGAGGCCCAGGGTGCCAGGCCCCTGCCCTGGAGCACTGCTCAGTCCTGGCTCCACACTGACCCTGAGTGGCTACCCCAGTGCCCACCAGGTGGACAACACTTGCCTGTAGCAGCACTCACACACTCGGGGCTCGGTGCCGACTCTCCGACTGGCCAGATGCCCAGGAACCTCGCCCCTGGGCCAAGGAAGGGGCATTTCCATCACGCAGCCAGCTACCTCCCCTGCCCCAATGGTCCTCAGGCCCTATCACATGGCAGGCTCTGTGCCTGCAGTCCAGTGCCCATCCCTACCCAGGGCCACCAGCTGCTGCCCTGCGCTGGGTGCCAGCCAGTTAGGGAGCCCAGGCCCAGGATAGAAGCCCTCAGGACAGGCATGGAAACAGGGACCTGGGCAAGCCACAGCCTTGGCCTCCCTAGTGGGCTGCACGTAGGTGGGTGAGGATTCCAGGAGGCCTGGTGACAGCATAATAAGCCCGTGTCACTCATGACTGGCCTCAGGCCTCGGGCCTCTACTGCTGGAGGGCGTCAGCAGACTCTGCCCAGTGCACCAGGACGTCAGGTCTGAGTAGCCACAGAGGGTAAGTCAGCCAACAGCCTCAGCTCACTGCTTTCTGGGTGCAGAGTATAAGGAGGGCTCAGAGGGCCTCAGAGCGCCCTGGGGCTGAGTGCAGGCCCAGAAGGAGGAGCCGGCCTGAGCCAGAAGGGATAATGTTCTGCCTGACACCACCATCCCCCCAGGGTCCATCTGCCCCCTCAGGTGACTCAGCCGGTGTGAGCACTGGCCTTGAGCACTGGCCTTAGGACAGTCTCGGCCCTAAAGCCCTCGGCCACAAATAGCAGCCGGTGACAGGGATGCTACCCAGCCTGGGAGGCCCACTGGTGGCCTTGGCTTTGATGCTGAGAGGGGCACCCACTGTCACGCTTCCTTTCAGGGCACAAAGGCAGGGCAGCATGGTAGGGAATACAGGCTCAGCAGGGCTACTGAGGAGGGCTACAGCGGTTGTTAGAGGGTCAGCTACTTGAGTGTGACCCCCAGCAACTCTACGAACATCAGATCTGAACCCTGTCATATCTCGTGCCATCCCTGCCCCACGAAAGCCCGTTGTTACAGGCCATTCATCTCATTGAGGGTTTTCTTCTCCTTCACTGACCCTCCACTTTTCTTCAAGGACTGGGCCCTCCTAGCAAGATTCCCAAAGCGGTGAGGCGGAATGTCATTATCCTTCCCTCTAAGGCGCTCCCTGGCTGTAGTCTCTAAGATGTATTTGTTCCTCTGTCATCCTTATTCACTGTCCAGTCCAATTTGCAGATACATAGCAAGTAACGGAAAAGAATGTGGCTTCCATCAGGTGCATCTTGGTCTTTGAACTGACAGCCTTGCTCCTTGGCACTTTGGAGCGGCCTCTGGCTGCGGAGTTTCCCAATGCGGCATCTCCTGAGCTCCCAACTGCTAGTAGGTTGTGGCCTGCAGACCGCGGTGCTGCTGACGTGCCAGCACGTGCACATGCTTGCTTGTCACAGTCCGTTCTTCGGAGCCCAGGACTCGTCATCAGTGGCTGCACTGAGGAAGCGTGCTTGCTGCTGGGATGTGGGAAGCGTCGCCACCAGCATTTTAACAGCACCCACAACGGGCAGGTTTTAGCTGACGAGGAACATGGTTCAAATCCCAACACAACCCCTTGTGAGTTTGGGAGCCTGAGTGGAGCCCCTGCTGGGCAGTGTTGGCCAGCTAGTGGGTCGCTGCAGTGGAACTGACTCATAGCTGACACGCCGGTGGGTTTTCAGAGGTTGTATGTCACACGGTAGGAAACTGTCCATCTTTCTCCTGCGAAGCAGCTGGTGGATTGGAACCACATGCCCGTGGGATGGTAGTGCAGCCGCCGGAACTCTGGTGATGTCATTGTTGTTGTTTAGTGTTGTTGAGTCGTAGGCAACTCATAGCGACCCTGTGAACACAATTCCTGGACACCTGTATAACTTTCGCCCTTTCTCCATGTTCATAGGGTTTCTGGAGGTAAGCTATTTACAGAAGTGGATGCCACTCCTGCTTCCACGCTTGTTTTAATCAGGGAGCTCCCCCAAACACTGTCCAACATGGGTAACCATTCTCACATTTGACTCGTCAGTGGTGATGTCATTAGGACACTTATTCCCTGAGAAACAACGCCAAAGTCTCCTTATGGTTTCTGGAGAAAGAGTCCACCACAAGCTAGAAGGAAAAGGCCAAGCCAGTCCACGTGGAATCAGCTCTGAGTCCTGGTGACCCCACATACAGGAGCGTTGAGCTCTGGAAGCTTCTCTTGGCCACTATCCTTACAAGGCACTGCCAGGCCTCTCTCCTGAGGTACCTCTGGGTGAGTTTGAACTGCCAACCTTTAGGTTCTTGGTCTTGTGTGTGGAGCTTTTGCTCTGTCCTGGAACTTTTCACTCCTACGCTGTGGACACTGTCAAGGCACCATGCTTAGGACGCCAGGGACAGCCTGCAGAGGTCACCACCTCCCACCTCACCAGGCACATGGCACTAGAGGACCCTGGTCACTGGCGCTCACAGTCACGTGTCCAAGGGTAGTCTGAGTTGCCTGCAGTCAGGTGGGCATCTGGAAGATTCTTCTCCATAGCCCAGCCAGGTTCTGTGACATCCAGGGGGATCCTCAAGGAAGTGGGGAGGGGAGAGCTGGATCTCATATGGCACCCAGAGGGGCACGTCCTCTTCAGACCCCAGATCACCCCTCATACCTCTGCTGCCAGATTTTCTGGTGCTGCTAACATCTGACTCTGCCTTGTCTACCTGGCCAAAAGTCTGGCCCCTCTTGGGCTTGTGTCCTCCACTGGCGACATCCTTCAGAGAGGCTGAAACTGATCAGACCCCACTAGTGAGGTTCTCTATGACCCCAGAGACCAGAAGATCTCAGACAGTGACCACAGGGGTCAGGGCTGGGGGTTAGAGAGTGGACACTGGGGTCAGGGCTGACGGCAAAGAGCGGGCATATGGGTCAGGGCTGGGGATAGAGAGTGGCCACAAGGGTCATGGCTAAAGGGTACTGAGAGTGACCACAAGGGTCAGGGCTGGGGGGCAGAGAGTGACCACAGAGGTCAGGGCTAAGGGGTAAAGAGTGGACACTGGGTCAGGGCTAAGGGGTAAAGAGTGGACACTGGGTCAGGGCTGGGGACAGAGAGCGGGCACAGGGGTCAGGCCTGGGAAAGGGGCAGCTATCAGACCCTGGGAGTTAGGATGGTGAGGGAAGAGTGAAAATGGGTGTGAATTCTGGGTATAAAGAACAGATACTGGGGGCAGAGAATAGACACTGGGGTCAAGAGATTGGGTGCTGGGGGTCAGGCACAGGGGGAGTGGAGAGCAAACTCTAGGAGTTAGGGACTGGGAGTCTCAGAGAGGACACTGGGTCAGGGCTTTGAGGACAGAGAGTGGATAGTGGGGTCAGGGCTGGGGAGGACCCCCAGTAGCTTGAAAGAAGGTCTGGACCTTTCTGGGACAGAGTCTGAGCGGCCGACTGGAAGCAGGCTGGCCATCTCTTGCCCAAGGCTGCCCGCACAGACGAGGCCACTGAGTGAGAATCACCTCAGGTCTGCTGGCTCTGTCTGCCCCACCACACTCTGGCCAGCTGAGAGGTCCTCTTTAAGAGGACAGGCCTCACCCCACCTGTGCAGGAGGGTCCCTGGTACTACAGCTCCGAGCTGGGCTTTCTCAGGCAGGTGTCCGTCCCCTGGTCCACACTCCCGACTCCTTGCAGGCACCCTCGTGACAGTATCAGGACTAGCAGCATCTCTGCTTCACAGGTTGCTTGAGACTCAGCTCAGTCACTTATCCTGGGGCCAGCCTCACGGAGTTCCTATTCCAATCGCAGGCCAGGGGAGAAGGAGAGGGGAGCTACCTGGGGTCTCCGCCAACCACTGAGTGGCCAGGGCACAGCGGGCAAAACGCTGTCCAGTCATGCCATCCTGTGTCACCTGGTTTTCACGGGCTAATCCCGAGTAGACTGCCTGCTTAGTCTGGGAAGCACGGCTGAAGCCTGCTGGACAAGGAGGGCAGGAGGGGCACTGGCTGGGATGCAAACCCAGGTCTCCTGGGTGGACACCCCTGCTATCAGCCCATTTGTGGGCCTAGGAGGGCTCCTAGAAGCCTGGGAATAAAGCGCTCAATCCCCCTGCAGGTGTCCAGGACCTGGCCAGATGCAGGGTCTCCCGCCCAGGTCTCACTGCTGTTTCCCGCCTGACTCTGAGCTGTGGACACCCAGCGGGCCAGCAAGTGTCATCTCTGTCTGGCAGCCAAAGGTGTTCCCATCACAGTGACCATAGAACTGGGTATAGCACAGGTCACTGTGCTCCTCTCACCACCTGACCAAGTTCCAGAGGGGAGTCTGGTGGCCCGAGAAGGGCACCAGGGATGGGTGATGGACCAGGCCAGCAGGGAGCAGGACGTGCAGGGGGCGGAATGTGCAGGAAGGGGGCGTGGGTGGGGGCATGTGGGGGGTGAACATGCCGGGGTGGGGGAGAAACGGGCTGAGTGCACCCATAATTTTAGGGGTAGGGTAGGTTGGATCCTGGAACAAAGAAGCAAGTTGAGGGCTGACCAGACCTGGGGCTCGAGAGAAAGAGTGCGGCGGCCCTGGGGGCGGGGTGGCCGAGGGGTGGGCCAGAAAGGCGGTGGAAAGGGGGATGAGGGGAAGGGTGGCCCAGGGGCGGGGCAGGGGGGTAGAAATGGGGGAAGAGGGGAAGGGCGGCCCTGGGTGGGGCGTGGCAACCGGAAGGAGAGACAGATGGGGGAAGGGCGGCCCTGGGAGAGGGGCAACGGGGTGGGGGGCTAGCCCTGGGGCTCATTGCAGCCCTAGGGGCGCGGGGCAGCCCGCCAACCAGGGATCCGGCCTGTCTGAGGGCAGGGGCAGCCTGGGGGT